ACCCTTTAAGTGGTCAAAATTAAGTATATTTAAAGCATGCATTAATCATTGATTTACAGTTAGTTTTATCCTATCAGGTAGTAATCCCCCTTTTCTTTCTTTCTTTTTTTTTTTTTTTTTATTAATCTACACTTACATGATGAATATTATGTTTACTAGGCTCTCCCCTATACCAGGTCCCCCCTATAAAGCCCTTTATAGTCACTGTCCATCAGCGTAGCAAAATGTTGTAGAATCACTACTTGTCTTCTCTGTGTTGTACAGCCCTCCCCTTTCTCCCACCCACCCATGCATGCTAATCTTAATACCCCTCTTCTTGTCCACCCCTTTTCCCTCCCTACCCACCCATCCTCCCCTTAAGTGAGTATTTTTGCATCTATGTTCGTCAAGGATATTGGTCTGTAGTTTTCTATTTTTGTGGTGTTTTTGCCTGGTTTTGGTATTAGAGTGATGCTGGCTTCATAGTATGAGTTTGGAAGTATTCCCTCCTCTTCTACTTTTTGGAAAACTTTAAGGAGAATGGGTATTAGGTCTTCACTGAATGTTTGATAAAATTCAGTGGTGAAGCCATCTGGTGCAGAAGTTTTATTTTTGGGTGGTTTTTTGATTACCAGTTCAATTCCGTTGCTGGTATTCGGTCTGTTCAGATTTTCACTTTTTTCCTTGGTCAGCCTTGGAAGATTGTATTTTTCTAGAAAGTTGTCCATTTCCTCTAGGTTGTCTAGTTTGTTAGCATATAGTTTTTCATAGTATTCTGTAATAATTGTTTGTATTTCTCTGGTTTCTGTAGTGATTTTTCCTCTCTCATTTCTGATTCCATTTATGTGTGAAGAGTCTTTTTATCTTGATAAGTCTGGCTAGGGGTTTATCTATTTTGTTTATTTTCTCAAAGAACCAGCTCCTGCTTTCATTGATTCTTTCTATTGTTTTATTCTTCTCGATTTTATTTATTTCTGCTCTTATCTTTATTATGTCCCTCCTTCTACTGACTTTGGGCCTCCTTTTTAGTTCTTTTTCTAGTTTCATTAATTGTGACTTTAGACTGTTCATATGGGATTGTTCTTCTTGCGTAAGGTAGGCCTGTATTGGGATATACTTCCCTCTTAGCACGGCCTTGGCATCATTAGTTTTTGCAGCTCCCTCAGACTGATTCCAACATGTAGCCAAGATTGAAAACCACTCACTCTGGTAGGAATACCTACTTAAATAGTCAAAAAAGGACTTACTCTTTTACCGCATATTTGTGTTATTGTAGTGAATGTTTTATATTTCCCTTGTAAACCTCTTTTGAGTCTGGCTGTTCTCTTAACTGAAAGGATGCCGTTATGGGCTTAATGAGGAGAGCATTATGTACTGAGCTATGTACCAGTCACTGGGAAGCCGTTTTATGTATGATCACATTTAGTTCTCACAGCGATCTTATGATACTTAGATATTATTTACTCCATTTTTGTAATTTAGGAAATAGAGTTGTTAAATGACTTTCTCCCAAGGTTTGTTTGATTCTAAAGCCTCTTTAATTTCAACTCTTTTCCCTTCCTAAGGTTCGTAGTCTATTAATACCACTTTGAGCCAACTACTTTTTGTGATAGACTTGTTTACTAGCCACACACCAACAAACAGGAGCTTAATTGAAAGCACCCTTTATTGATAAAGCCTAGAATGACAAAGGCCTAACAGAGTTGGTATGACAGAATCTCTGGCCCAACACAGAGAAAAACAACATGGCAGTTGTGGAGTTCTGATCCTCTTCTAAACATCTTGTTTTTAAAAAACTGGCTTACTACAGTAGATCTCAGTGGAAATAATTGGGCCTTGTTATTCCTTGTGAAAACAAATGCACAGTTTTAGACAGTCACTCATGCTTTTGGTAAACTGTAATTGAAATCATAAAAGCTGAAATACTGTTGATGATGGCGAAGTTTCTTCTCTTAACTTTATAGTCCTGTGATGGCCTTTGGTGCTTTATAGACTCTGATATGTCTCTCCTGGAATCCAGTTGTCTCATCTACTTGAACACATCTAATTACTCTGGATCCCAGAAGATAACCTTGGATTGTCCGAATCACTTATACTAGCAGGCCTAGGCAAGGGATGTAAATAAAATAAGTCAACAGATGAGCTTATCTTCCATGATGAAAGTCGGCTCCAGCCTGTTGGTAGTGTGGTTTGTTAAATCCAGTTTTCTTAAAAGAACCCTGAAATCTATGCTTTTAGATGTAATCTCCCAAGAAAAAGACATCTATGTGCTGAATTCAGCCTGACGGTCACCTATTTACTCTGTGTTTTTGAATCTATCCTGATTGGTGAACCCTGTTCTTTGCTAAGCTCTTTACATTTATTTAATTAACCAAGGATAATTCCTTAGGATGAACTCAAAGAGTTAATCTGCTCTCCAAAAGAACAAAGTTTTTCTCCTCTAACTGTGGACTCAGTTGTTGCTGGAAGTGCCCTTTGAGACTATGCCAGCTTTCTTCACATTGAACTGCAGACCTAGATTTTAAATCTAATTTTGAGAAGCAAGCAAGTGTTGGGCATAGTGATTCTGCCTATGCATTGAATTGGCTGTTGGGCAGTGTTTTGCCAGTGTGTGTAATGCAGCATGTTGTATAAAGCTATATGACTTGTAATTTCCTCTACAGATATTGAACTTTTATTTAAACACTTTTGTATAAGTGAGTATCTCTGGCCACATATGATTCAAATATGATGGAATTTTTTATTCTGGTACATTTTGATTTAATATCCTTCCAATAACTATTTTTTATGTATATTATAGGCACATAGTTGGGAAGAGAGGGGATACTAGGAAGAAACTAGAAGTGGAGACCAAAACTTCTATTAGCATTCCTAAGCCTGGACAAGAAGGAGAAATTGGTGAGACTCTGTAATATATTCTTTTTGCAAAGACTTTTATTTGTATGGAATTGGTATGGAATAATGTGACCCAGCTGAGGTGTTTAGGGACTATATTCTTTATCTGGTGCTGTAGCTATTTGGCTTTTTTATCCTATAAAAAAGTGTTAATCTCCCAAATGAGGAAAAGTGTAGCTACACAACCTTATCTTGATTGAGTACATGGGACCTTCATTTTATACTTTACCTTGCACTGATGGAGTAAAGTTTCTAGATTTTGGGTGTATTAGGAGATTTCTTTCATGCTGTAGCAGCTTGAAACAGAATTTGTGAGTTGTTTCAAGTTGGAATTAGAGAAAACCATTGAGATCAGCAAATCTGTGATATAGTTCAGTCCTTTCCATAAGTGTTATCTTGTGTTTACCTTGTTTTGTAGACTGGGAAGGAAATGGTAAGTAATGATTAAAATACCAACCTGATTCCAGTAACTGCTCAGGTGAAGAAAAATAGTTTAGTCATAAAATTCAAATCAGAAACTGTCTGTACCAAGCAATGGTGCAAACTGTGGGTGCAGACTTGTGTTGTAAAATGGCTTTGAGCGAGGGGTGGTGTCAGGACAGAATATTTAAAAACTCATTCTAAAATGATAGGACTTTTTCAAAGTTAAATGAATGCAGAAGATTCCAACAATCCATTTTTCATAAAGACCCACAGATTATATTAAGTTTTAGGAGAAAATATTACAAGTGCTCTTCTCATTTGTGCTATGTAAGTGTAATCACTGTGACAGATAAGTCACACTTGACTTTAGAGCAGTGCTGTCCAGAAGAACTTTCTGTGATGAGGGGTAATGTTCTGTATCTGCACTGTCCAGTACAGGAGCCACTAGCCACATGTGGCTATTAATACTTGAAATGTGGCTAAGATGACTGAGGAACTGAATTTTTAATTCTGTTTAATTCTAATTAATTTAAGTTTTAATATAACTAGCTGCATGTAGACTCCTGTATTAGACAGAAAAGTGCTAGAATTTCCTCAGCCCCCTAGGTAACTTCAGCAAACCATATCATGAGAACTTTAATGATATTTTTGAAAGACTTTCATTAAAGTAAATATTCAGCTTATTAGAATTACAGATATAAAAACTTGAGTCTTAAGTTTTAAAGTTCATATTACCAATATAGAAGTAATTTTATAATTTCATTAAAGTTTATTTCTTTAGTTTTTCTGATTATAAAATTAATATATGATTTAAAAAGATGAAAGTTGCAGAAATTATAGTATAAAAGGAAGTCTCTTATAATATTAACCTCAGAGATAATGCTATTAACAACTGAATATGTTCCCCATTTTTTCTACCTATAAAATAAATTATAATAATTATTATAGCAGTAAAAATTATAACATGGTATAAATGTGGGGGCTTTAGCCATTTTAAGGTACTGCAGTCATTCTAAAACTTATCCAGCAAAGGGCAGGTAGGTTGTAAAGATTCTATTTTGACTTAGCACAGATATTTCAGTATGAAAAATGAGTGTGTCTAATTGTTTAAAGTAAAAATTTAATGAGACTAATCTAATAGAAAAACAAGAGGATAAACTTGTTGGTCTTGTAGGGAAGTAAAGTATATATAGAAAAATCAAATTTATTGGTTAGAGTAAATTGAATTGTGATGTGAAATCAAGACTGCAGTTTATACTGATGTGGTAAATCCTGCCATTTATCCACTTCTTTTGCCTCTCCTAAATTAGACCAGAGAAGGGAATAATCTAGTATGTTTTAATTTGTCCTCTAGACAAGGGTCTGATTTAGTCCGTTTTGAAATCTCAGGTAATGGAATGTCAGAAGATGCTTTTAAAATGATACTGTCATTGTAGTTAAAGAATTGGTTTTTTAAAGTTTAACATCAGTCAATACCTTTAATTCTTTTCTTCCCATTTATTCCTTGTTAGACTTATGCCACATGAATTCTAGTCTTCTCAGATACTTGTAGAATATTTTTAACCTTGTCATATTTACTCTTTAGTCATTGATCAACTTTGAATCTTTCCTGGAAATCATTGTGTCTGAACACCTTGTAAATATCCTTTTCAACGTGTTATGTTAGAAAAATGAAAACATTGTATTAGTTTTATTCTCTACCAAACCACCTTCTTAATGGAAAAGAACAGATTTAGCATTTTGTACCAAATTTTTATAGAAATAAAACATAAGCATGAGTTTTAAGCCTCCCTTCCCTCCATCCCTTTTCTTTTTAGTTTCTCATTAAAACTTTTTGGTCCTTGGCAGAGATAATCATAATTTCTACTTTTCTTTAATTTTGTCCCATTTTATCTTTGAACCCTCCTTTATCAGTATTCTCTAGCAAATATTTGCATGCCTGCTCTGGGCACTTCCCTTCACCAAGCATTTGGATCTTTTAGGCTCTCAAAAGTATTCTGTCTGATAATATGAAAATGTCATTCGAAAACACTATGTATTTACTTACATTTTTTAAGTTACTACTTATGTCAATTTTTTACTTAGGCAAACAGTTCTCAGGCTTATTGTCAATCCATTCATTCATAATTTACTTTTCCTAGAAATTTCCACCTTTTCTCTCTACAATAAAATGGGTATGATACTTTAATTCTTTTTAAGAAAAAGAAAAAGAAATTGTTCTGTAAGAACAATTACAGAAAATTTCGAGTACTTTAATGGAAAGTTTTAGGACGAATAAATGGAATTATTTATTTAGTTTCTGCAGTTGCTTGGAGGAAACAAGCGCTGTGGTCTTTAAAGTACATAACATGTATTACTATTACAGTTAATACTTCAATATTTTATATTCAGAAATTGCTTTCATTTTTTTATTAAGGTATTATTGATACACACTGTTATGAAGGTTTCACATGAAAAAACAATATGGTTACTACATTCACGCATATTATCATGTCCCCCCATACCCCATTGTAGTTACTGCCCATCAGTGTAGTAAGATGCCACAGAGTCACTATTTGCCTTGTCTGTGCTACACTGTCTTCCACATGATCCCCCCCAACACCATGTGTGCCAATCATAATACCCCTCAATCCCCTTCTCCCTCTCTCCCCACCTGCCCTCCCTCACCTCTCCCCTTTGGTAACCGCTAGTCCCTTCTTGGAGTCTCTGAGACTGTTGCTGTTCGGTTCCTTCAGTTTTGCTTTGTTGTTATGCCCTTCCATTTTTAATAAGTAGTCTGTTGAAATGCCAATTTTGTTCATTGTTTTTATCTTCTGTACCTTTCCTTAGTTTCTGTTTGAACCAAGCCTTGCCAGTTCTGGAACTTAGAGGTTTAAGCTCTGCTTAAATACAGATTGTGTAATCCCTAAGTGGTTTTGTTTCTTTGTGAATGGTGGCCCTTGCTTTGTGGTGTTCCCACCCCCTGCCCCTAGCCACACACTTTCATTTATGTATACATGCAGACATTGTCCAGATCAGAGAAGGCCAGATTACACCAAAACATGGAAATCTGATAATCCATGTATACAATGCAGATGAGAATAAACACTGTACTTTAATTTTCTACTTACATAAATACAGGAGAGGATTGTGTCTGTTGTAGTACACTCTCCTTCCTCTTTCACTATAGTGAATCAGTAATAATTTTTTTTTTTTTTGAGAGGGCATCTCTCATATTTATTGATCAAATGGTTGTTAACAACAATAAAATTCTGTATAGGGGAGTCAATGCTCAATGCACAATCATTAATCCATCTCAAGTCTAATTCTCGTCAGTCTCCAATCTTCTGAAGCATAATGAACAAGTTCGTACATGGTGAACGAATTCCTACATAGTGAATAAGTTCTTACATGGTGAGCAGTACAAGGGCAGTCATCACAGAAATTTTCGGTTTTAATCACGCATTATGAACTATAAACAATCAGTTCAAATATGAATATTCATTTGATTTTTATACTTGATTTATATGTGGATCCCACATTTCTCCCTTTATTAGTATTATTTTTATTTTTAATAAAATGCTGAAGTGGTAGGTAGATGCAAGATAAAGGTAGAAAACATAGTTTAGTGTTGTAAGAGGGCAAATGTAGATGATCAGATGATCAGGTGTGTGCCTATGGACTAAGTATTAATCCAGGCTAGACAAGGGCAGCAAGACATCCACGGATGCAGAAGATTTCTCTCAAAGCAGGGGGGGTGAGGTTCTGAGCCTCACCTCTGTTGATCCCCAAATTCTCACCTGATGGCCCCCCTGCGACTGTGCCTGTCTTAGGTTGTTCCTCCCTTGAGGAATCTTACCCGTCTCTGGCTAACCAGTCATCTTCCGGGGCCATACAGGGAAATGTAAAGTTGGTAAGTGAGAGAGAAGCCATATTGTTTGCAAAGGTTAGCTTTTTACTTCTTTGCAGATTTATGCCCTGTGGCTTCTATGCCCAGCACTTGTCTCGAGGTATCTTTACCACCTGGAGGAATTATGATACTCGGTAAATTCGATATGAGGCACGAATTCTATTTAA